GAGAGAGAGAGAGAGAGAGAGAGAGAGAGAGAGAGAGAGAGAGAGAGAGAGAGAGAGAGAGAGAGAGAGAGAGAGAGAGAGAGAAAGGCCGGGTCTGTGGCTAAGGCTACCCTATTCCGATGCTGATGCCAACCAAACGATAGACACAGCCCCTCCAAACTCATCACACGCCGTATTGCAGAACCTTCCTGCCAAGTTTACCATTAAATGCTCTGGACAGAGCGTCACCCATATAATAGTCCATCCTCGGCACAAACCATGCCGTTTTTCAACATCCCGGTGAGAAAGACGCAGATGTTTGCTAGAAGCTCAGTGTGCATGTGTTTGCGGTCAATTGCCCGGTGATCAACGTGGCGAACAATGGTCTTAGTCGCCAATAACAGCATTAATAATTTAATACTGTAATTTACGGTGAGCGAGCTAATTTACCGTCCGGTTACTGGTTCAATCAATGCTATAAAAATGGCGAATAACTAACGGGATCGATGATGTAAACGGCGGCTAAAGGACTGTAAATTATGGCAGATTAGCGAGAGTCAGGCAGGCCTGAGCAGACATCAACGACCGGTCAATGGCGATTTTTTTATGCCGTCAGATATCAGTGGGGGCTACCGTGTTTACCCGAATAGAATTTCCTAGTCATTATAAATCACTGTGTTTGGGTCAAGTTTCAGTCTAGATGCAGCGATGATGACCGGGCATTGGGTCAAGTTTCAGTCTAGATGCAGCGATGATGACCGGGCATTCTATTCGGGTGAAAAGAGTAGCAACGGCGCAATTGCGGATAAACAGGGTAAGTAAGAAAAACAGCAAACCGGAAGGCAAAGAAAGAAACAATAAAACGGAAAGGAGAGAAAAAAAGAACAGCAAGTCGAATCGACGGCAGATCAGCAGCCTGTCGGCGCAAATCGACGGCAGATCACTTCCCCCCCCTCTCATCAACAATCAGTGATCGATCAGTGGCGTAGAGTAGACATCGGTCAGTCTAATTGCTAATCAAGATGCGAACCAACGATAGCTGAGCAACAGATCTTTCCGCCAATCAATGGTGGATAGGCAACAGATCTTTCTTTTTCTTTTTCTTTTCTTTTTTTGATTGGTGACAGTTCTACACCCAATCAACGATAGATCTGTGAAAGATCTACGGCCAATCGACATTGGATTGACGACCGATCTGCAAAATGATAGATCGGCGAACAATCAATGGCCTAACAAAGTATCAGTGCCGATCTACAGCTGATCAACGAACTATCAGTGATATAACTACGCATGAACAGTGAACTATCAGCAGCCGATCTATGGCTGATCAACAGTGGAAGATCCTTCTTCGTCGAATGTAAAAGATCCTTTTGTTTTTCGTCGAAATTGAACTTAGAAAATAGATAAATAAAAATGCTACCCATCAGCCGTTCACGATCAATCAACCACCATCGATCTCCACCCCCTGATGCATCTGCCCACCCGCTGGACAGCTGGGACACAGAGGCCTGCCGCCCCCCTTGCCCCTCCCCCACCAAATTTTCGGCCTTTTCTCCTCTCATGGCTTCTACTTCAATTATTAACAAAATCCCACAATCCTTGAAACAAAACTTCCCACCAATCTATGGAGTGTACGCCAACAAAAAATGCACATTTCAGTGCTTGAGGGTTTAAGCTACGGACTGAAAAGGGTTAACCAACCTATGCGCTGAAAAGCATTAATCAACGTATGGGCTCAACAGGGGTACCCTACCTATGGTCTGGAAAGGGTTACCCTATGGGTTTAAAAGGATTAACCTCTGGGCTGTAAACGGGTTAACCTACGGACTGAAAAAAGGTTAACCTATGGCCTGAAAACTGTTATTCAATCGGCTGAAAACTGTTATGGGCTCAAAAGGGGTACCCTACCTATGGTCTGAAAGGGGTTACCCTATGGATTGCCAGGGATTTAAGCTGTGGGCTGTAAACTGGCATTAACCTATGGGCTGAAAAAGGGTTAACCTCTGGCCTGAAAACTGTTATTCAACGGGCTGAAAACTGTTAATCTATGGGGCGAAAAGCCATGTCCCTGCTAGCCACTTGTGTTCCGCCAGTGCTCCTTGCCGACGGTGGATGTTTGTACCTCATCTACGGGTCTGTTACATCGATTATCAAATTCCTCCATCAATCACTGGCGATGTGACGCGGTGGCGGGAAGTCGCTGACAGATTGCCTCCTCAGTGCATCGCGTGGTTCTTCCCCTTGATTGGTTGCCACTGGGCGTTTCTTCCACTTGATTGATTACCTACCATCCAATGGGTGTCTCTTCAACTTGATTACCATTTCTCGATTCATCTGTGCCATCCTTGCGCAGCAGCCATGGTAATCTTCTCTGTGTCGTTCCAATTTTAATGGATGTCCCGAAGGACCTTCCACTTGATTGCGTACGTACCATGTGCGACGATGGCTGGCGACCGCCGAGACGATTGCACACAGTACTAATTGCGCCCCCCACCCCAAAACTCCCCCCGCAAGTCCTGTCCCTACGATTACTTTTCCAGATTTAACAATCAACCCTGCACACCCATGGTTGCGTACCGTCTTGTCGATACACACATATGTGATCATTGCAATGGTCGTGTACTGTTGCCCCATTACGTAGAAAGCATGCAGGCTTCGCATGCCATGTACGTCGATTTCAGATTTGATCTCATCCACACATGCTTGCCTACCGTTGTCTATCACGTAGATGGCATGCAGGCTTTGCATGCCTGGTATCTGATTGATCGTACCTTTGGTTGCATACCTTCTTGTCGATACATACACATGTGATCATTGCAATGGTCGCGTACTGTTGCCCCATTACGTAGAAAGCATGCAGGCTTTGCATGCCATGCACGTCGATTTCAGATTTGACATCATCCACACGTGGTTGGCTAACGTTGTCTATCACGTAGATGACATGCAAGCTTTGCATGCCTGATGTCTGATTGATCGTACCTATGGTTGCGTACCGTCTTCTCGATACATACATATGTGATCACTGCAATGGTCGCGTACTGTTGCCCCATTAAGTAGAAAGCATACCGGCTTTGCATGCCACATCCACACGTGGTTGTCTATCACGTAGATGGCATGCAGGCTTTGCATGCCTGGTATCTCATTGATCGTACGTACGAGTCTATGCGATTCGTAGCACGCTCATTGCCGGACCAGACAGTACGTAGTACATGCCATGGTTTTCATCCACGCTTTGCATGGTACGTACGTCGATTGCAGACTTGATCCCATATATACACATGCTTCCGTACCCTTCGTCTATTACGTGGACAGCATGCAGGAACGACGAAAGCAGAGGGCTTAGCAGCACATAGGGTTTAGGGTTTATGAGACCCAAGAAGCCTACCGTCTTCACCCGAATAGAACGCCCGGTCATTGTACCTGTATTTGGCGCGATTTTCAGTCCAGATGCAGCCATAATGACCGGCCGTTCTCTTCCGGGTGAAGACGGTAGGCTTCCAAGAGGGGCCACGGGTTACTCCAGCAGAGTAAGGGTCCAACAGGAGTAAGATAACATCGTCTGACGCGGCATTTATTTTCTTCCTTTTATTCTGTTCGTGTTGTTTTTTGTTTTTTTTTTGGAAGAAATACCAATTATGTTGCAAGTCTGTTCGTGTCTTAGTTGTCCAGTTCTGATGTTCGTTAAAGCTGCAGATATGAGGGGACGCTGGACTCTCCGGCTTTCCAGCGCAAAAGCCAAATCTGGGTAATGGCCCCAGCCCTCTCCGGGTTGAGATGTTGAGGAATTCCCGGCCTCATTGATTGTTCAAAAAGAAAACGAAAAAGAAAAAGAAAAAGGATGCAGGCTTTGCATGTATGGGATGTGTAATCGATGGTACCTATAAGTCTCTATGAGATACGTAGCATGCCAATTGCGGACAAAAGATTACAGAGTACATGGGCATGGTTTGCGATGGGAAGTGGTGCACGGATCGACTCTCAAGGGATGACAGATCACTATGCCATGGCCTCGGTGAGATGAGCTGATGAGAGTATGAAACATCTACGGTGCACAGCCGTTGATGATCGCCGCTGCTGGCGATGAGTGTGACGCGGCGAGAGAGGAAGTCGTCTTCCGGGAACGCCTCCGCCCCATTGGGAGTGAGAGGGAATTTCTTTACATACCATCACGGTCCGAGAGGCTATTTAGATGGGCGACAAATGAACAGACGACAACCGAAACCAGCAAAGGATCACGTTTCCGCCGTTGGACTGTTTAGGCAGAGCACATCTTCGGCTCAACGACACCTGCGAAAGTGGGACCTGCCCCGCCGAACCACCAGATCGTTCGCGAGGCTGATGGTAAACCATCTCTCTCTCTCTCTCTCTCTCTCTCTCTCTCTCTCTCTCTCTCTCTCTCTCTCTCACACACACACACACACACACAC